CTCGTCCTGATTATGTAACCATATTGTTATTTAGATAGTCGTTATTAAATCTTGTTTGCTTTTCCTTTTTTTGCGTCTTCCTTTTACTTTTAACCAAGAAGGCATATACCTAAGCTTTTCATTATTTTGTCTTCGTTGTTTCGCTTCTAATTATTTCAGCATAATTTAGGTTTTTTATTTTAGCTCCTTAATACTTTGTTTTATCATCTTTTTGGTTTAGCTTTCGTCATTTGAGCTTGTTTATTTTTGTTTCTGGTCTACAAAATTTAACCATTATTCCATTGTTAAAATCAGACTATAGGTCTTTGGTATGTTAATTTGAATTTTACGTCGAAATCCAAGACAGGTTTTTGAAAAATTATGCAACAAAATTAGAAAAAACTGTTTTGCTTTATCAAGAATTTTTTTTATACAGAAGTGGGTATATAACTTTACATCACATCTTCTTTATGAGAAATCGTTGTTTGAATTGAATGATCTAAACGATGAATTCATTTTTTACCTAAATAAGTAAATTTTAACCAACCACTTATCGAATAGGATAAAGGATAACGAGCTTTATGGAAATAGTTTTATAAGTGTTGAAAAGCGACTTTTTCATGCGAGTTTTTAAGTTGCCCACGAGGCCGTTAGGCCGAGTGTGCATTAACACGAGCTTGAAGAAAGCTTTTCTCACAAGTATAACACAATGTTTTTTCTGTGACCCTTTTATTTTTTATTATTTTTAAATACAAAACAAAATAACCTAAAAACTTTTTTGACAGCTGAATGTCAAACGATGTTTTCAATTTCTTTTCACACAGAAATGTCACTTTACATTCGTGTTTTGCCTTGCCAATGAAAAGATTCATTTTCTAAGCAACGATGCCATCATCATGAAAACTGACTATTACATAGTGGTCGTAGAAAAATATAATATATCCTCTAGTTTTGAAAAAACTTCGTTTTTTTATTTTTTGAATTTATACAAAACATAAAATAATAAAGCAAGTCTGAGGTCGAATTTCAGAAGTTAAAAACCTTCCAAAAAATATGGTGTGGTGTCTGTATTAAATTTTTAGACCTGCATTATTATTTAACCTTGTCAACATTTACGCTTGGAGTAACTTTGGATAGTCATAAAAAAATAGTACTAGATTTGGCTTATAATAGTTATTTATGTGTCAAGCTTTGTAAATGAATCTTTACAGGCGAGCTGAAAAATTGTGGGGTGAGCGACCCAGGAGCGAACCCCATAATCCAGTGAGCCTAGTAAAGATTAATTGCAAAGCGTAACACGTACAAACTTTTATTTTCACCTTTAGATAACGATTTTTAATTTTAAAATTTTAATTAATATGTCAAATGTCAAATGTCAAATTTATTTTATTTCCCCCTTCTTAGTAAATGACATTTTATAGGTTAATTTTGTTGTTTTTGTATCCAAGTAAACGATACATTATGGGAACAGACCTGTAATATTTTACGGGCTTGTATAAAAGACCTGTTAAGTTTTACAGGCTTGTAGAAAAGCAATTTATGAAATGAAATGACACATTTGACACATTAATTGAAATTTTAAATTTGAAAATCATTATATTAAAGTAAAAATAAAAGTTTGTACGTGTCACGCTTTGCAATTAATCTTTACTGGGCTCACTGAAATATGGAGTTCGCTCCTTCGTCGCTCACCCCACAAACTTCCAGCTCGCCCGTAAAGATTCATTTACAAAGCTTGACACGTAAATAACTATTACCTTCTAATTCATAATTAAACATTATTTGAAAAAAATCCTTACTGTATTGGTACTGTTTTATGTAATAAGCTACCAGATTATTTAAAAAGCATTCTCAAGTTGCAATCATAAAAAAATAAAAAATATTCTAATTGAATGTTGTTTTTACGATTTAAATGAGTAGGTATAGTTTAGTTTTTGGTTTTAGAATGAGAATTTAATTGGTTTTTCTCTTCTTTTGATGTCAATATTATTTTTATATTCTTTTTAATTATTTATTTGTTTTTTATGACTTGTCTTATATCTGTAAAGGTTTTGGATTAATAAATGGTTTATTTATTTATTAATTTAATTATTTTATCTACTCCTACATTGACGAGCTATGACTTTATGGCGTTTTATTGACGGGCTGAAGTTAACAACAGTGGCTTTTCGACATTTTACGCCACGGGCTGAAGTTAGCTTTATTATAAATTGGGAAAAAGTGAGGATAAATTCGGGTGACAGTTGACAGATGTCAAAATTTTAACAAATAAAATTGGCTTTAAATTCTGTTTTGTGTTCGTCGTAGATAAAGTATAGTATGCAACAACGAGTGTCTAGAGAAGTTTATAAACGAGTTGCATACTTTATCTACGACGAAAACAAAACAGAATTTAAAGCCAATTTTATTTGTTAAAATTTATGTATTATACTATTAGCTAGTCAACATTTTTACATTCGCCATTTTATAAATGCTTGGGACGAATTTATTTCAACCTTGAAACTACGATATAATAATCCGATATTCACTCTATTTCCAAAGTCACAATCAAAAAAGCAGATAAATTTAAAACTACGAGTATAATAAAACTTAGATGTGACTGTAAACTTTACAAAAATCGCCGTATTTCAAACTTGACGACGAAACCACTAGGCACTTCACAATTTTCCAATAAATCATATGATTATCATGCAAGTTTAATTTCAAACTTTAAATTTTACATTTTATTAATTAACTATAATTTAAAATTATAAAATAAAGTAATTTTAATTTGCCTTACACTGCTTTTCTAATCTATAAAAATTAGCTGGTTACACTTATAGACAATTACAAATCCACCATTTCTTTAAAAAATATATCAAAATTAACCTAGGTATTATTGACAAGTAGTAAAGTTAATACACGAATAAGTCAATTAAAGATTGAACGGCTATATCTTTTAAAATTAAGCTTAAATCCACTGGGGGTTTGTTCCAGAAAGTAAATTTAGGCATTTAAACTGCTTCCAGGTAATTTTAGTACTTACTGTTGCTAGTGCTTGTCTTCATTAAGAATTGTTTTAATTTTAACTGCTAAGAATTTTAGATGACTATATCATGTAATACCTCATGATCAAACCATCTAAACTGTTGTCATTTGAGCATTTAATCAATTTACGTAGGTAAATAGTAATTATTTAAGCTTGTCATCGTCTTAAAATAAAGTAATTATAGTCTTTCTTTCTTTAAGAGTTTAAATTATTCCTGGGACACACAATAAACATTATAAATCGGGAATTGGCTGTACGTCACGGTGATGTAGGGTCAATTCTATGCTGAAGTCCCCGAGGGCATTTTCCATTCGATTCTCATTGGGCAACGGTAACGACCCGTTCCAAATTATGAAGACAATTTTCCTTACTGCTTTGGAAAAATTCAATTTTCCACAAACCACCGCATAAAAATTTAAGTAAATCCCCGGGATTTATATATAATTTCGATGATGACGCTTTTATTTTATTAACCAAATACGTGTATTTATTTATATTAAATAAACATCGCTGATTAAATATGTTCGAGTTGAGCTTTCATGATTATAAATATACATGATTAGCTCGAATAATGGTTTTTATGAAAATAACTAAAGGTAAATGATAATTAGTGTTGTTGTTTGCGTTTAACAACCGTCACGTTATGGCTTACGTTTGTTTAAAATTATCCCATTTGAAATAATATTCCAAACATTTATTATTATTATTATGATCAAACACATTTTTACAATTTGTTATTTTATAATTAAAAGTCACTACCAGTGTTGCCCATAATGAATAAAATAGGTATCTAAATGTTGAGTCAAATTTAAAAATCTCTGCCCTTTTTATCAATGTATTTTATTTGGTACTTTATTTACCCAGAACAGCACTAGTATTAAAATAGTTTCGAATCTCGATGGCGAATGGGAATGTTTCATACATTTCTTTTAAAAAAGATTTCAGTCTCAACTTACCTTGGAATCCCAACAAATGTTTCTAACCCAAATTAAAAAAACAGGTTAAAGAAAAATAATTACAAATTTTGGGCTTATTTTGAAAGGAGTAAAATGAAACATATTGTTTATTACACGTCTTCAAAGGCTTTAACCACGGTCTTATATACAGGTCTTGCAACTTTAAGCTTCGAGGTGGCTTACTTAACGTGCCAAGCCGCTAGGTGGCGCTAAGATCGAAGGGTGAAGTCAATTAAATGAACTACTTAGTTAAATTTGGAACTACTGCATAACCATAACCTAACTTTTTAAATTCTTTTTCTATGTTTTGTTTACATTTTCAAAAATTTAATATTTGTGAGTTTGTTTCGGATAATTTACGTTAACAAAATAGGACAACAAAGTCTATACTCTATGCACAAAGTCCTCGGCCGTCACATGCCCAGACCAAACATGTAAGTAAAACATGTTAATGTATAAAATACATACGTATATCATATATATGTTACGGCTAATGTGTAAACATGGATAGTTTATAAAGTAGCTGGGTAGTTTATAAACTAGCCAAACTGTCAGCTATTTTAATCTAATTAATAAGTAAAAACTCCCTGTAACAAAATACACAAGCTTGTTTATAAAAATGTAGGTTATGTTTCTTAACACAGAACAAATGTAGGTAGTTCATTTGACCTTTTATCCCATAGACTTTAAGGACTTAGAGCCGGTTTTACAATCGTTAGATTAAGTTAGCTTATTTGGCGGATAACTTTCATAGAAACCTTCTATCTAAGAAAATTATCCACCAGAGAGCTTATCTAACGATTGTAAAACCCAAAGATAAAGAAGGTAAAAACGACCTTTAAACATCTATGGTTCACCCTCAACTCGATGCGCCATCTGGTGGGTGTCTCATTAGAGAGGTCACTTTTCCTATTGAAATTGGGCGAAGTTGCAAGACCTGTATATAAGACCGTGGCTTTAACCAATGCCTGTGATGCGTCAGCCTAATGTAATATACCATTAAAATACAATGTAATTAATGTTTTTTTCATTTTTTTTTAGCTGGAAGTGACGCAGTGACGGCCACCTTTGATTTGTTCGACTCTTCCAGCGGTCCTGACTTGACTTTGTCGCCCCAAACGTTCACCAACTCAGCAGAGGCCTTCATTAACGACAACTCTTCGAACAGTTTGGGTGGCACTGTTTCGCAAGACAATGATGCAGGTAAAAAAATAAATCAATATTTACGGAATTAATCTGATAACACCGCGCACCTCCATTTTAAATGTCCGAGGTCAAGCTATCAAAATATAAATTTATTTTTAAAGCCTTACTATTTTTTTCAAGAAAATGTATGACTTTGGAAGGTATGCTAAAGTTAAAACAATTTAAAAATTATAAATATGGTGAAGTATTGTATTTTTTCTATGACCACTATGTAAAAGTCACATTTCGTAATGGCATCTGTGCTTATAAAATGAATCTTTTCATTGGCAAGGCAAAACACGATGTACAGTGACAGGTCTGTGTGGAAAGAAGTTGACAGCATCGTTTGACATTCGTTTCAAAATTTGTATTGTATTTGGATATGAATTGTGTTTGTAAAGGGTATCTCAAAAGTAACGCAAAAATTGAATTAAATAGAAAACACATTTTTTAGTCTTTAGATTGTTATTTTTTTATTGAATAATAAAGCTCGTAGAATAGGGTTATTTATGGAATAACACATCGGGCAAATGGCCTCCACGGCTTTGCTGGCACATGCGCACTCTTTTGTCGAAATTTCCCATGACCATTATGCATAAATGTGGTTGAATTTCAATTTTCGCCTTGATGGCTTTGTTATTCGCCAAAATTGCCGCGTTTGGAGTTCGGAGACCCAGATGTGATTGTCTAAAAACAAATGCTTCCACAACGTGTCACTTTTTGGTGCGGATTTTGGGCTGGAGGCACCATTGGATCATGCTTTTTTCAAAATGAAGCTAGTCAAGCAGTCAAAAGTGCGCATGTGCCAGCAAAGCCGTTGAGGCCATTTGCCCAATGTGTTATTCCATAAATAACCCTACACTGAAAAAAATAAGCTGTTTTTGTCTTTATGCACTTTAAATACAAGCAATGGTTTTTGCATGTTTACTTAACCATCTAAAAATGTCAAATTGTATTGTTTAATTGAACAACAAATATTAGTCAAATGAACAAAATGAGAATATTTGTTCTAATCTTCTAATCTGGTTAATTAACCATTCTTGAAATGTCCAGGTAACCTTTTTAGCATATTCACTTAATACCAATAAAATGTTAAATTAAAATAATTTGCGCTAATGTTGGGCTAACATTCTGAAAATGTAAAAGTAACATTCTTTAAAGGTTGGTATTCAAAACAAAATTATGGAATTAATATAAAGGAAAGAATTGAACCTTCTCTCGCCAGAGTTTTTGTTTTGAGTGCGTTCCACCTACTATAAATACCGGCAGACAGCTGATTCGACCTATATTGGCGGTCTTATCAGTGTCGGGCAATTTGGTGTAGTGGAAGTTCCACTGTGGAACACACCCAATACAAACGGCTACCTGAGCTTATATACTCCTATAGTAAGCCAACTGAGGCGAGATGTAAGAACATCACGTGATCAACACCGTCTAATGACGTGGCGTAGGTGTTCGAAGCGCAATTTTATGAATGCAAAATTAAAAAATTTTAAAGTACCATTTACAATTTGTTAAATGAAGAAATTTAATATTTTGGATTTAAAGGGCAACTAAACGTTAATTTAATAGTTTTTTAGGTAATCCTAAAAATTTCAGTATTTGATTCAACCAATTCCAGCTATTAAATCAAAATAGGATAAACATTTTAATTCAAAAAATTACTTCTGTTAAATCATTATTTTAACTGTCAAATGAAAAAATAAACTTTGACAAACTCTGAATATTGCTTTGACACCAAAATAAAGATTAATCCAATAGGTTTTTTGATGAAACAACATTTTCAAAAATGAAACTTAAATGCCTAGTTAGGCAAACGTTAACTCAATTACATTATTTTTTTCGGTGTATCCTATGTACTTTGTGATAATAAAAAAATAACAATCTAAAGACTAAACACGGTGTTTTCTATCTTGCGTTACTTTTGAGACACCCTTTATAATAAATTCCAATTTTAGTGCCTTTATTTAAATTGAGAAGGTAAGTTTATTAATTTTAAGTAACTTATACCTTAAAAATTAAAAGAATAAGATTAATGTAATTTTAACAGCTGTCAAACACGTTTTTAAGTTATTTTGTTTTGTATTTAAATATAATAACAAACAAAAGGGTCGTAGAAAAAACATTGTGCTTCTCTTGTAAGAAAAGCTTTCTTCAAAAGTCGCTTTTCAACACTTGTAAAACAAATAACTATTTTGTATTGTTTGTAAAGGCTGGGTGGGCAAAATTAAACAGTAGATTTATATTATAAAAATGTTTTTTTATATGAAGGTTGCCTGTATAGACTGCGGAAAAACTGGTAACAATAGGTAACATACAAATATTTTGGTAACTGGTTACTGGTTACTGGTCACAAAATGTTTAAAAATAAACATACACATGATTTGCCAGTGATTAACCAAAATGAAAACCCCTAGAGTATAACTTGCTTAGAAAAAAACTATTATTTTTTACTAAGGATTTTACTATTTTATTAGTCCCAACCATTATGTTAAACCTTTTTTTTCAATTTGATTTATTAATTATACTGTCACTTAAGCTTTTCGCCGTTCATTTTAAATTTATTTATTTTACATTGTCATTTAATCTAATCCTTATTGATGTTATTTTAGTCATCCTTTAAATAAATTCCAAAGCTTCGGTGGCCCACCTTCACTGCCAAATTTTTGATGACATATCTTATTCATAATTGCTCCTCGATCTTACCAATACTCCCTATTATCTCGCCCTTTAGCCATTAAATTGTTGTTTGTGTAGACCTTGCTCTTGAGATAACCCCAAAGGAGGAAGTCCAAAGGCACGATCTTGGTAGCTAATTGGCTTCGCTGTTTTGAGAAATGATGCGAAAAAAATTATGATTACACAGTTAAGCCATGAACCATCGACCTTTAGAGGTGGCGAACATATAGCAGAATTTATCTTTCACACATAATTGCCAAGGACCAAATAACTTGATTAGACAAATAAATCATTTTTTTACAAATAACATTGTTATTCACTGTAGGTAATATTAATTTTTCACAGTGTTTCTTATTACCTTCTTTAGGATTTTAAATGAACATTTTTCCAGTATATTCTTTAGTTTTAGGGATTTTGTTAGATTTTTCATTTAAGCTCATTTAACATCTCTACTGTTTGGTACTGCAGTATAAACCTTATAATGGTAGGCAGGTATATTTGGCATGAGTTCATTACAGTGCAATATCATAAATTTATTTTCAGGATTAAATTTTGCAATAACGCGGCGGTTTATTGCATTAACAACGAAAAAAAAACAATATAAATCCTTGCGTTATTTGTTGCAACAACCACCTGAGGCCTGGGAACACGCCCCACGCTCACAAACTATTTTATTGCAGTGTTTATTGTACATTTTTTAACCAAATACATATTCTAGGTACATATACAATGCATGTATATTATACATACATATAGTATACATATACCTAATTCGCTTATCTGTATGCAGCAAACTGTGCATTGTTTTTACAACCGCCACCTGATAAAAGTGGCCATTTGTTGGGAACTATCGTTTGCATATTTTATTACGGCCGTATTTATGCAGCGTCATGTTTTGCTTCCAATGTTTTTAGGTCTGGGCGGCCATTAAATGATTATCATTTTTGATGCTGGGCTTAAAAATATATCGAGTTTATTGATATGACAATGTTAATTCTTTTTACTGTAAAACATAAAAATATTAAAAAGGGTGTCCCAAAAGGAACTAAGTACAAGGTGGCTCAAAAGTTTGGAATATTAAGTGTAACTTTTGAAATATCGAAAATATCACAATCCACACAACAAGGTCTGTTCTATCTCATGCTAAAAATACTTAAAATCACTGCCACACTGCACAGAGTTTAACGGCGGCCATTTTTTTTGTTTACAATTCTTGTGTTTTAAACGTTGTATTTCTTACAGAGGCACTTGTAAGCCTCAAATAAGGCCTTTAAGTGCTAAGGACAACCATTTTACTCCTCTTTTATAATAAATATACCTTATTCTATCAGGGCTGTCAAATGACAATTTGAAGGTTAATTTGTGGGTTATAATTTAACATTAAAATTGACATTTTACAGTTTTATGACAGCCCTGATAAAATAAAGTTTATTTTTTACAATAGAGGAGTAAAATGGTTGTTCTTAGCACTTTAAGACCTCTTTTAAGGCTTACTATAAGAAACACAACGTTTAAAACTATTATTAATCTGTATAAACAGAGCACAAACCCAAAGCACAAAAATTGTAAACAACAAAAATGGCCGCCGTTAAACTGTGCAGTGTTGCAGTGATTTTTTGTATTTTTAGTACGAGATAAAACAGACCTTGTTGTGTGGATTTTGGAAAATATTATAAAATGATTTTTATAAAAGTTGTTTGGTGGTTCACTTCAAATTTTACGGTGATATTGCTAACTTAAAAAAAAATACGTAGCCCCCCAAGGAGGCTATTTCTGGTGGTTGAGCGTTAAACGTTAAAATTTTTTAAATTTTTATAAAAGTTTTTTGTTGTAGTTTTTTTTAATTCGACATGCAATTTTCACATGTAACAGTTTGCTAATAGTAAAATAAATAGCTACCGTTTTAAAAAACAGCTAAAAAAGAAAGAATTGTAATTTTAATGATGGTTGGGTTTGGAGACCGAGAAAGGACTCAGCAAGATCATGTGTAAGCTATTGCAAGTCCAGGAAGTACCTACAGTTTCTTATCCGGGGGTTGCCCGAGATAATTCTATCAGTTATGCGTCACTGCAAAGATTATTTAAAAGAGAAAAAATGCATCCCTATAAGGTGCATTTGTTGCAAGAATTAAGTGGGGACGATTTTGATCGTAGGGCTGAGTTTTGTGAAATTTTAATGGAACTTTGTAATCAGGATCCGAATTTCTCAAGAAAAATTTTATTTTCGGATGAGGCCACATTCATACTGAACGGTTTTGTTAACCATAATAACAGCCGCTACTGGTCCTATCAAAAATCGAATTGGAAAGAGTAGACACACAAAAGAAAAATGTATGAGCA